TTCCATTTATTTCAATGTTTCAATGTAACTGATCTTAGTAGTTTTACCCATCTTTTGTCAGTTTCATGATCGAATACTTAATCGTGTTACAAAATGTATACTCTATGTATTTCAACCATTTTAAAATGTCATTTTTTTATTCTTATATATTACTAAATAATATCATTCTTCTATATAACTCAGTTTTTTTGATTAAACAAAAAAAATGTATATTCCATGTAACTGATCTAGTTTTACCCATCTTTTGTGTGATAAACTCCGTTAGTTTTAAAAATGACGTGTATGTATGACGTGTGGGTGTATGTGCGTGTGTATGAGCATCCTCTACGATACATTCTGAAAAATCTTTCGTGACGTCCATGCTCGTCCAATTACAAAATAATTAAAAAAAATAATAAAAAAAAATGATGGTAATTTATGCAAGTGCATTCACCGTGACCTTGTTACGACCTCGTATTCAAATCAATTTAATGTATGCAAATGTATTCACAGTACCCCATTGTGACGTCATCCTCATTCAAATTGACCCCCTTCAGACCTTGTACGCTCATTTATTCACGGATCGCCATTGTGACGTCATTATTTATGCTAATGTTGTACCGTCCCCCATTGTGACGTCATCCCGCCCCGTATGACGTCATCGCATCCAAATATGAACAGCGCCTCATGGTGGTCCTATAGTGTCTTATAAACAACTCACAGTATAACAAATATGATACAATATCAAAACTTACCACTGTCATGTTCAAATAGAATATCATATGCTTTTTCTGAGTTGTGAAAGACATGAATGCATCATTGATCTTGTTTCTTAGTTTTAGTTCCATTGAAGACACTCATCAACATATCAACTTAGCATTGAACTAAAACGTAATATAACATAAAATTACAATCTTGATGTGACAACTACACATCTAATGTAACCAAATATAGATGTACATTTCAAATGTAGTGTCTTTCATATTGCCATGTCCAGATAATTCCAGAGTTTTAGTGTTTAATGCCTACTTTATTTTTTATATTTCCAATTGTCTTTTGAAATACAGTAAATTTCATAAAGGTATGAACACATTTTATGGCAAACTAATAAAATATTCATAACACACCCACCCTGAACGACCCACATGCTACATTCAAATCAAAAGACGATTTTTTTCATTGGGTATTGAAGCCATTTGAAGCACTTATTAACCATAAGTATTTTCATTGCCTGATTCACTGCCATCCATTCACTAAAGACATTGAAATTTGCAAAGAATATAACATTTATAAAGTATTTATAAACTCACTGTAATGAGCCAATAGGCAATCTATTTATTTATTAAGTCAAGTATTGTTTTCTATTCAAGTGGAGTGGATTGATTTTATTATGATTCAAAACTCAACCAGCTCATTGTAAATAAGTTTGCAAAATCAAACTGTTGAGTCTGATTTTATGAAAGAGAAGCCTTAAACGTCATCTTATACTCGGTATGTGATCACATAGCAAATTCTATAGACATAATACATTGTGACTCCACGTATTCCAGAGACAGAACCCAATAAGCCAATTACAAAACCTGGTAAATAAATCTATCATACAGTGAATAGCGGAAACCCAACCTGGGGATATTATAAACGTTTTAAATACATATTTTTATAAATCAAAATAACAGTCAGATTTTAAATTGACTAAATGATATTGTAACATCATTGTGATTTCTATATAAATGAGTTAGTTCACCATCATCCAATCAACAAGTGTTTTATGTTGGTGTGGTTGCAGTTACTATGTCACTTGAAGACACGAGTGCACATTATGATTATTGAGACAATGTTTTCGATTCATTGCTACATTTCATCAACATCAATTATCTCTTCATCACTAGAGTCAATCTCTTTATTACAATGCATATAATGATTACTATAGCAATATATGGTGTCAACAGATACAGTACAGTCATGAATATCACTTGTGGTGAATGTTTTTTTTTTGGAAGTAACTATAATAAATAAACAATATGAGGTTATCACCTGATATCGCTAGTTCATAGAGCTGGTTAA